AGTTTGCTTTAAAATTTGGAATTGTGGCTTGCTCATTATCCGATTCATTTAATGAAGTGGGTAGAATTTAAAGTTACTCAATAAATTTCATATAAAAATTATAAGTTCTGTGGCATTTCTGAATAAAATTTGGTTAATGGATTTTGTTGTATTATGTTCAACTCTGGGCACAAGATTTGTGTGAATTTCCTTAAACGGTTTCACATGAGCATATTCTCAAATTTTGGGGGACTGAGATGTAGGAAAACTTATCATTGGAGATTGCAAGATACCTGTTGTCCACCACTTTTGCAGTTCTGGTTCAATTTGATTTATGGAAGCAAGACAAGTATATTACACAACTAAAATGTAATTACTCTTAGAAAATGATCAGAAATCTAAATTTAACCTTGAAGATCAGAGCTTGTTTAGACCAGCTGATTCTTTTAAAAAAATTAAAGGTTTCTTGCATTGCTGAACTGCAGAATTGAAGTGGCAAAATGTTTCATGCCTTTAAAAGTGTCTTCATATGTCCATCAATTCGTAAATTTTAAGGAAGCTTTCTAACTTCCAAGTCTTGTGGTGGACACCGCACCGGGAGAGACTTGGAGTGCGTACTAATTTGCCTCCTCGTCTCTCCCCAGGTGACTGTGTCCACGGCAACGGGTGCAGCACAGCTGCTTCAGGAGGACCAGCATAGGTGATTTTGACCACAGTGTGTGGTTGCAGCAGAGCTGAGCCTGCTGCTCCAGTTTCAGTTGGAAGGCAACACCAACTGTAACCACAATGCCGCAGAACGAGCATATTGAGCTTCACCAGAAGCGTCATGGTCGGCGACTGGATTATGAGACGCACATGCGTAAAAAGGCTGCAAGAGCCCACAAAGACTTATCATGGAAGGCACAGAAGCTGCATGGAATAAAGGGCAAGCTCTTTGGAAAAGAACGGCGGAAGGAGAAGATTCAGATGAAGAAGACCCTGAAAGCCCATGAGGAGAAACTCAATAAAAAGAGAAACAAGGAAGAAGTACCAGAAGGTGCCATTCCATCCTATCTTTTAGACCGTGAGGGTGAAACGAGAGCCAAAGTTTTGTCTAATATGATCAAACAGAAGAGGAAGGAGAAGGCTGGTAAATGGGATGTTCCACTTCCAAAAGTTAGGGCACAGTCTGAAGCAGAAGTGTTCAAAGTTATCAAGACAGGTAAGAGAAGAAAGAAAGCTTGGCAGCGTATGGTGACCAAAATTACTTATGTTGGTGACAATTTCACAAGAAAGCCTCCCAAGTTTGAGAGGTTCATAAGACCAATGGCACTCAGGTTTAAGAAAGCTCATGTTACACATCCAGAACTGAAAGCAACATTCTGCCTACCCATAATTGGAGTGAAAAAGAACCCAAGTTCAACCATGTACACATCATTGGGAGTGATTACAAAGGGTACTGTAATTGAAGTGAACATTAGTGAACTGGGTCTTGTAACCCAGAGTGGTAAAGTTGTGTGGGGCAAGTATGCCCAGGTTACAAATAATCCAGAAAATGATGGTTGCATTAATGCAATTTTATTGGTGTAAAGAAAATTAATTTCAGATCAATTCTGAACCTGGATCCCAAAGCCGATTTTGAAAGAATATATGTGCTGTTGTATTCTGCAGAATTTATAATAAATAGATAAGAGTAGATCATGTTTTCTTGAGCCTTCTGTATTCAGATTTTGGTAATGGTCATTTAGAGTAATCAATATTGGGAGTATTGGTAGGATTTTAAGTAGCCTTTTGCCTTGGTTAACTGTTTGTGACTGTGATACTTCAACACCTATGAAAAATTAACAATGTTAAGTGTTGGATTACAGTGTGTGGAATCTCTATCACTAACAAGCCAAGAGTTGTAATTATTGCATTAGTTAAATTTTTTTTTTACCTATTATGCTTTTATTAGTGGTTTTAAACTTAATATTCAAGTGAAACACTTAATATAAAAGTTGAGGGTATAATTGAAGTTATGGCATGTGTATGATCAAGCACTACCAATCTTCACCAATAGTTAACAGGTTAATGAAATGTCCCTTGTCCCCCCCCCCCCCCCCCCATATTCAAAGCACCAAGGAATCAATCAGTAGCCTGTGCACAGCCCCCTCCCCATTTATACCATTGTAAACAATCAAAGGGAAGTAAACAGGGAAGATAACTGACTCCTTGGTAAGTTTGACTTTGAAGTCATGTGCATAAACACTTGTAAATAGAACTGTTGGACATGGCAAATCATTTAGGATTCTAGGTTTTATAGAAGTATTTCTATTTCATGTCCAGAAAATGCTGTAGGTAGGGGATATTTTTATTAATGTAATGATTTTAAATGTTCATTTCTTAGAATTATTTATTTTATACTTTGACTAAGTGAAAATATGACTAAAGAACTTCCTGTTTTTCAGACTGCCATCATGCAGATCTTCGTCAAAACCCTAACGGGGAAGACCATCACCCTTGAGGTCGAGCCTTCAGATACTATCGAAAATGTGAAGGCCAAGATCCAGGATAAGGAGGGTAAGTTCAGGCAGTGTTACATTCTTATCACATAAGTATTCATTATATCCATATAGTGAGTAACAATGACATTCAAACTTGTGTAATTGTGAATGTTTTTTCAGGAATTCCCCCAGACCAACAGCGTCTCATCTTTGCTGGCAAGCAGCTTGAAGATGGTCGCACTCTGTCTGACTACAACATCCAGAAAGGTAAGCTTGTTATAATTTGATTACCTTAAGTCAGTCTTAAATGAAAAGGAAGTGTATCAGCTTAACGGCCAATTGTTTAAATTGTACGAATTCCAACCCAATAAGTTTTCATTATATGGACGTATATACATAAGTAAATGCATGTCTCAGTCTAGACTTGCATATATACCTGGCAGATAAATAGTTAGAATGTATGTCTATCAGTTAGACGTGTGCATTTCTGTGTATATGCATGTCTGTATATATGAATTGGCTTGGGCCTTGCACAATATTAGTAAATGACCATATGTATGGTGTTGTAAACAATTCTGGTAAGAAACAAATTATTCCATGCTTCTCATTGTGTAGGGAAGAAAATCTGGAGAACAAAGTCTATAGATTGTCTAGGAATCCAGATTAACCCATTGGCAGAGGGTGTAAATAATTTTGTTCTTGTTATTCTTGTACTTACTATTCTTGTTCTTGTTCATCCTCTTGTTCTTCTTGTTCCTCTTCCCCTCATTCAAAACCAGAGGTTCTTTAATTTTGGTTCTTCCACCCCAGAATCAACTCTTCACTTGGTACTGCGCCTTCGTGGTGGTGCCAAGAAGCGCAAGAAGAAGAATTACACTACCCCCAAGAAGATTAAGCACAAGCATAAGAAGGTTAAGCTTGCTGTGCTGAAGTACTATAAGGTATGTTTACCACTGATACAAATATTTTGAAATTATGAAGAAAGGGTAGTGTTTAAAAGATGGGGGGGAGGCATAATTAAAATTAATGGTTTTATCCTCTTGCAGGTGGATGATAATGGCAAGATCACCCGCCAGCGCCGTGAGTGTCCCAGTGAGGAATGTGGTGCTGGTGTGTTCATGGCCAACATGTTTGATCGTCAGTACTGTGGAAGATGCCACCTGACTTTTGTCTTTAATAAGCCAGAATAAAGTTGATGGTATTACTGTGTGTTTGAATTTCTCCCCCAGACATTATTAAGGATGTCAAAGTATAACATTAGGTGGTGAAACCATTTGAAGTTATTAGCATTTATTAAATGAGCAATGTACTTCACAATTAGGGCTGACATGTAATACAAACATGCTATGTTAGGCACAGGACAAATATAAAGTTGTTACAAAACATTTTGATACTAAAGGTATTGGGATTAATTCACACAAAGTGTAAACTTGTTGTTTTCTTAGTGTTTTTTTATCACAGCCAAAGATATTTTACCAAATTAAAGCTAGCAAAGATTAAGTTGACCCACTAAATGTTAAGTATTGTGCAAGTATAAATGAAATGCATCACTTAAAATACACACCCATGATGCCATTTACCGTCTTGTTTTCAATTGATATGAACTTTTTATCCATAATAGGCACAAATTCAAAATGATAAATGCTTGGAATGGGATATATTCCAATGAAATAGAAACTTTCATTTCATTACAGAAATCTAAAGGTTTGTCCCTACAAAAGGCACTGTTAAAGGAAAAATTACCTTTAAAATAAATTTGCTATATACATCTGATTGCTTGTATATTGTCAAACCGTATCCAAAAAAACTTTGAATATTTCCGTGTTCTCCCCAACCCCCCCTCCCTAATCCCTTTTTTTTGGGGGGGGGGGGTGACCTTAGTCTACATTGGGCCTCGTCTTCTATCACATCTACTGTGGACCTCGGCCCTTGTCGCAACTAAATTTGCTTCTCCCCCTCCAGTCCATTCTAAAAATTAAAATATGATCCAAGATGAATGGCTGGCTTTCAGTCCAGAATAGCCTTCATACTCTGTTAGCTCTCCCCTTTTACCCCTGTTCACTACCATACTATAGCCAACACCACTTTACAACCTTTGCCATCTAACATTTTATTCCAATTGTTAAATCAAATTTTAACCTTTTAACTACATCACTGTCATAGTGCTGTATGACTTTTGATGTCTGGAACATTTTTAACCATTCTGGGAATCCACAAACTTTGCCATATGAACAAAAAAACGCTTCCTTACCCAGAGGCTTTACTCCCAAGCCTTGCATTATTGCTTTATTTTGAATTTGCCACTGATAACAGATGTTGAGGTAATACTTGATTCAAACCTAGTCTAATAAAAGAAAGGGATCACACATTACCCAGGGTAAAAGCATATGATGTAATAAAGTCCATTTTATACTACATAACACTTTTCAATGCAGTTGTTAAATATTACATGTATTCTTTATAAAACTGAAGGGTTTATAAACGATATATTTTAAATTACTACTGAAGCCTATTTCCAAGGCATACTGATGGTAGTTACATTATATATATATATATTTTTTTTTTTTTGCATTTGTTTTAATTTTACACTAATAACTATGAAATCTAGTCTAATGTAACTCATACTTGCAATTTAATGACAGAGCTCTACACTTGTTACATTTCTGATAACTTAGAATCTATCCTGAAATGTCTGATACTTAAATGTTAGTGCCCTTTTTATTACATTTAATACAAAATCGGGGTTAACAATTTGGTTCTGAATTTGCTAAGCCTTCAGTATCTTTCCTTAAGAAAAATGTGTATTTTTTTTACTATGAAATCATAAATTCAGTTATGAAGACAGTCTACCTACTAAATACAACAAATCTTCAAAATTCACTTCACATACTTAGAGCAATTTCATAATATCAGCTAGACTAGGGCATTTTTTTCATTAAACTGATTAACAGATAAATTCTTGACATAGAGAGGCCTGCAATAGTTCTCTAGACTAGTGTCTGGGCATTGATCCATCTCTCAGTTGGGAGTGCCAGATATTACAGCAATTGAGGCAGACTTCATGATAAAGAGGTGTCAGAACTGACTGATTATTCATAAACCATGGCTAGAGGGTTAGTTACAATGCTTAACATGTATCTGAATATATGAAAATAAAAAAGTCTAAGTTACTGAGAGTGATGCACGGATACAGGGAGAAATGGACACCGCTATCTTATAGAGCACATCATACGTACAGCTGCAGCAACCTCGTATTTACAGTGAAATGACAAAAATAACCACTGCATATCACCGCTCAGAGACAAAGTCCACAACACCCTCACATTGCTAGATTCTTAATATCCATTTTCTATAGGATGGATGAAATGCTAATAAAATTGGGGTACAGTTAAGCTACAGCAGCCTCAAATTTATAGATAAATGACGAGAATATTTGTTGCATAGCAGGAAAAATATAGTAAGAATGTAAGAAATAAGAGTAAGGAAAAATATAGTTTAAGCTACAGCAGCCTCAAATTTATAGGTAAATGATGAAAATGTCTGCTACATAGTACCACTCAGAGACTAAGTCCATAACACCCTCACACATTTCTTAATGTCCATTTTCTGTAAGCTGGCATGATCTGCTAATAAATGGGGGGTGCAAGGAGGGCTTGCCCCACTGTCTAATGAATAAATAGAAGGTAGGAAAGGTTAGGTTGTTTTTTCGGTTCCCATGATACCCTGGTTTTGGGACTTCAGTCTCTGGAGGGTGCATTGCTCCCAGTAACAATTATCAATAAAGACGTCAATAATAATTACATAGACATTTATGAATGTGTAGTTACATTATAATTAAAAATAAAAGCTGCATCAACTATTGTCAAATTATAATACAGTATCAGAGCACTGTAGTCCATTTCTTATTCATAAATAAATTCCCTTCAAATTTTACAAGAGTTCTGCAAGTTCAGATGTTTAATTACTAATTACTCAAGATTGTTTGGTTAACTCACTCAATACAGAACTTCCTGCACCATGCCAAGAGATGGTACATCAGCTTTCACAATTTCCTGTTAATATTTTGTCTACTGAAAAGACTTTATATAATTATTTTTCCCCGATTGATTAACTACCCTGATCAACTAGCTCCACTGACAACTTTTCCAGTTCCCTAACCCCTACCTTTCCTCTGCACACTGCTACTACTACCCCTGCTCCATACCTGCTGTCAGCTCCATTCATTCCAAATCACTCATCTCCTGACATTCCTCCTTATACTTCACCTCCTCCTTGTGATCTCTAGTCTCATTTCCCATGTTTTTCTTATATTCATAATAGCTCTTTGATCTAATTGCCCTTAACCCCTCTTTTCCCTTTTGCTTATCCCTGCCTTCTATGGACTTCCTTGTGATATCCCACACTTTTTTCCTTTAAGAACTTATTTTCCTACCTAAGATACATATATATCCTCCATTTGATCTAATCATCCTTAATCCCACCCTTTCCCCCTGTTAATAGTACCCACCTTAACCTTTTAGTCTCTACTGTCACCCTCTTTCCCAGTTTCAAATACCATACTATCCTAAACTATAGTATGACTTTTGACAAGTAGCACATAAAATTAAAATTCTTCCATTGACCTAAAGAGTCAATTATATGAATATATTCTTAACTATGACAGACACCTCTTCAGCTTTGTAAAGTTAACTGTGCTAACTACTATAAAAATACATTTGGAGAGAGCAAGATTATAAATTAAAAATGGCAGTTTTGTAAGACAATTAAATAATGACAATATCTACAGTGTAAAATTATTAAAGCATTAAGTACTTTTGTACTGTGACCACTAAATTTATGAAAGAAACCATTTACCACTAAACATGACGTCAGAAAAATTAAGAGCTAATGTAAAAAAAAAAAATTATATATATAATAATAATAACAACATTAATAATAATATTGCAGAATTTACTTTTTGGACAAGTCAAATCTAACATCATAAGACTATGAGAAAGTAGAAGGCAAAGCATAACAGAGTTTAAGTCAGTGAATTTATGGCAAGAAAATATTACTTGTAATCAAAACTGACAAAAAATATAATGTACATATAACATTTAATATTATATTAAATATATATATATTCAATAACTTCAGCTAAAATGCACCAGTACAGTTCAGTAAATTATTTTAAGCTGTTTGCATCGCTAAGCACAGATAATTAGCACATTCTGTAATTAACTGAAATATTTTTTTCAAATTTCCCTTACATATGTAAAAAATAATCAAAAACACAGCATTATGACTTCCGACACTAATGAACAATCCTAATTCATCATTGTCATACATGCTTCTGAATTAGTATGAGTATAGAATTCTTGAATCAGACTCATAGTAAAAACATATACAAATCACATTTTAAGTATACATTTCAAAACTTTCAGAGCAAATATGATATGCCACAGTTATAATTTGGAAAATATTATGAAAGGTACATTTATATCATAATTTTGTAAAGAATAATCAACACATTTAAGATTTTTCCAATAACCTCTTTGGTAGTATGTACAGTAACAGCAAATTTCAGCAGTATCAAATATTAAAAACAATATAGAATTATTTAAAGCTTACAGTTAATCTTGGTACCTATGAAAAGTATAGGAAACACAAGTGTATACACAAACTGAAGATGCAAATCCACATTCAAATGACAAAGCAAGTGTTTGTGCAAGGTTCCACCACCTGATTCCTTTTTAAAATAACTTGCAGCCCTTCAACTTTCACTCTCTCTGAATCATACCAATAAGCTAGTTATCACAAATTTTCCCTCTCAAATGAATACATAACTTGCTTGCTCAACAAGCATAAAATACATTCAGTTTCACATAGCATAAAAACAATAGATCTGGACTGCTTCTTGTCCATTTCCTGAAGGGTCACTGGGCTCCTTAAAAAGGTATGCTTAGGGCAAACATTATGTTTACTTAAAGATACATACAAATACAGACATGAGCATGCGGATGGATTTGAATTTATATTATTATATCACTTCTATTATAGAATAAACTGGTCCTTTATACTTATCCCTACATATAGCAAACTAAGTACTATTCAGAGAATATGTTTCATTACTGAGGTCACTAGTTTAAAGTTTGAGAATATCCTTTACAATGTACCACATATTAGTTGATTTTATGATGGTAACAGATTCACTGATCAACAATTCTTGTTCGCAAGTAGTCCAAGATCTCACGAGTTCCTTTAGCTAAAATGGCAGTCCTTGGTACCCTGAATGCATTTCCTTCTAGTTGCAGAGTTCTGAAAGTAAAATTTGTATTTCAGACTTATTTTTCATCCTTTAATTACATTAAAGAAATTGCAGTATCTGCAAACACCTGCTTTAATCAAACCACATCTTACAAAATAATTCAACTTACAAGTAAATTTTGACTAGTTAAACTACAGACAATAATAAATTATAATGTTACAATAAAAAGAAAGCCATACTATACTCATTCCCCAACAAACCTTAGCTGTGTCATATTTCCAAGCAGTGGTGGGACAAAATCTATGTTGTTGTTGTGGAGGTCCAAAGTTGCTATTCGTTTCAACTTTGAGAGGCCTTCAACGTAAATAGAAGTAATCTTGTTGTCCCCAGCAAATAAAATTTCAAGCTGTGCCATTTCATAGACACATGCTGGCAACTGTTCAAATCTGAAATAATTATTGGTTATTTCTTTTATCTGTTCCAATACTGAAAAACTACTGTAATCTATTTCACATGCCTTATAACCATGTTGCCAATATTTTCTTATTACTTAATGAATGAGTTAAGTACTAAGTACATTCAATTCTCAAACTGATAAACCATAAACTCGTACCTATTTGCAGAAATATTGATTTCACGTAGATACAGACACTGTGCAAGATCTGTAGGCAAATCAGTAAGCTGGTTTCCTTGTACATCTAAGAATTGTAACCGCTGAAATGTCCCAAAGAATGCTGGGATTGATGTTAGCTTATTCATGCCTAGCATAATTTCTGATACATGTCGTGATAGCGTTTCCAGTCTGAAAAAAATACCAATAATCAATAATAACTAATAATATTACCATTGATAATATTAATAATATTAATAAAAATTACAATAATAACGCATCTTTTAAAGATTAACATTTAATACAAGACAAGCTCACTTTGACTTTTTGAAAGGCATTATTTGATCCTTGAGCAAAGGCGTCTTTCTTGATATCAATCTATTATCCTATCACAGATAGTTTCACTAATAATACTCTCATCTTTGTAGTGACAATATTTATATAATTCTATATACAATCAGTAGTAGTAACAGTAATAGTAGTAGTAGTAGCAGGAGCAGCAGCAGCAGCAGGAGCAGTAATAGTAGTAGTAGTAGTATTATATAGAAGTATTTAGTACAAGTACAAGTTGTTGTTGTTGTTGTTGTTGTTGTTGTTGTAGTAGTAGTAGTAATAGTAGTAGTAATAGTAGTAGTAGTAGTAGTAGTAGTAGTAGTAGTAGTAGTAGTAGTAGTAGTAGTAGTAGTAGTAGTAGTGATGGTAGATTTAACTAGCAGTAGTAAGTAGTAAGCAGAGAAAAGTAGTATGTAGTAGTAGTAAGTTTTAGCAATAGCTGTAGTAGAAGCAGTAATAGTAATAGTAATAACAGCAGCATCATTAATAGAAGCAGTAGTAGTTATAGTAGCAGAAGTAGTAGTGGTAATAGTAGTTGTAACAGTAGCAGCAGCAGTAGTAGTACTAGTAATATTAATAACAGATGTAATTGTAATGATAGTAGTAATAGTAGTAGTAGTAGCAGTAGTAACTATTGTTATTGCAATAAAAGTAAAAGTAGTAGTAGTAGTAGTGGTGGTATAAGTAGCTATAGTAAGTAGTAAGTAGTAGTAATAATAGTAGTAGAAAGCAGTAGTAATAACAATAGTAGTAAGTTGTAGTAGTGGTAGCAGAAATAGTTTTAGCAGCAGCTGTAGTAGTAGTAACAGTAGTAGAAAAAGTAGTAATAGTAGTAGTAGTAGAAGAAAAAGTATTAGTAGTAGCAGAAGTAGTAGTAGTAACAATGGCAGCACCAGCAGCATTAATAGAAGCAGTAGTGGTAGTAACAGCAGTAGTAGTTGTAGTAGTAGCAGTAGTAGCTGTAGCTGTAGTAGTAAGAAGCAGTAATAAGTAGTAAATAGTAGTGGTGGTAGTTGTAGGTAGTAATAGTTATTAGCAGTAGTATGTAGTGGTAGTAAGTAGTAGTAATAAGTAATAGTAGTAGTAGTAGTAGTAGTAGTAGTAGTAGTAGTAGTAGTAGTAGTAGTAAGTAGTAGTAGTAGTAGTAGTAGTTGTTATAGTAGTAGTAGTTGTGTTATACGTAAGAGTAGTAGTTTGTTGTATAGTGTTGTATAGCAGTAGTAGTAGTTGTTGTTATAAGTGGTATAGTAGTAAGTAGTAGTTTAGTAGTAGTAGTAGTAGTAGTTAAGTGGTAGTAGTAGAAAGTAAATGTAGTAAGTAGTATTAACCCACTAGTGACGGTATATTTATAAGCCAAAATAATATTTTCTGGGTGGCTTCAAATTCGCCACTGGCAACAAAATCATTGTGCGAGCTCCGATCTGGCATCACACTGGTGGGATGCCCGGCAATGTTTACTTCTCCGGGTGTCTCATATGTGGGACACCTGTCGTAAGTGGGTTAAGTAGTAGCAGTAGTATTAAGTAGTAGTAGTAGCAGAAGTAAAGTGGTAGTATTAAGTAAAGTAGTAGTAAGTAGTAGTAAGTAGTAACAGTAGCAGTAGTTGTAAGTACTAGTAAGTATTAGGTAGTAGTAGAAGTAGACATAAAGTAGTAGTAAGTAATATTAAGTAATAGCAGTAGTAGTAGTAAAAGTAAAGTGGTAGTATCAAGTAAAGTAATAAGTAATAGTAGTAGCAGTAGTAGTTAGTAGTAGTAGTAGTAGTAGTAGTAGTAGTAGTAGTAGTAGTAGTAGTAGTAATAGTAGTAGTAGTAGTAATAGTAGTAGTAGAAGTGAAGCAGTAGTAGTAGAAGTAAAATGGTCATAAAGTATTAATAAGTAGTATTATGTAGTAGCAGTAGTAGTAAGTAGTAGTAGAAATAAGTAGAAGTAAAGTGGTAGTATTAAGTAAAGTGGTAGTAGTAGTAGCAAGTACTAGTAGTAGCAGTAGTAGTAGTAGTAGTAGTAGTAGTAGTAGTAGTAGTGTAGTAGTAGTAAGTAGTAGTAAGTAGTAGTAAGTAGTAGTAGTAGTAGTAGTAGTAGTAGTAGTAGTTAGTAAGTAGTAGTAGTAGTAGTAGTAGTAGTAGTAAGTAGTAGTAGTAGTAAGTAGTAGTAGTAGAGTAGTAGTAGTAGTAGTAGTAAGTAGTAGTAGTAGTAGTAGTAGTAAGTAGTAGTAGTAAGTAGTAGTAGTAAGTAGTAGTAGTAAGTAGTAGTATAGTAGTAGTAAGTTAATTAAGTAGTAGTAATAGTAGTAGTAATAAGTAGTAGTAGTAAGTAGTAGTAATAAGTAGTTAGTAGTAGTAATAAGTAGTAGTAATAAGTAGTAGTAAGTAAGTAGTAGTAAGTAAAGTAGTAGTAGTAAGTAGTAGTAGTAGTAAGTAGTAGTAGTAGTAAGTAGTAGTAGTAGTAAGTAGTAGTAGTAGTAAGTAGTAGTAGTAGTAGTAGTAGTAGTAGTAGTAAGTCAGTAAGTAGTAGTAGTAGTAGTAGTAGTAAGTAGTTGTAAGTAGTAGTAGTAGTAAGTAGTAATAGTAAGTTAGGCTAGTAGTAGGTAGTAGTAGGTAGTAGTAAGTATTAGTAGTAAGTACTAGTAGTAGAAGTAAAGTGGTAGTATCAAGTAAAGTAGTAGTATTAGTAAGTAATATTAAGTAGAAGTAGAACCAATAGAAGTAGTAGTAGTGGTGGTAAGTAGGAGTAGTAAAGCAGTAGCAGTAGACAAAGTAGTAGTAGAAGTAAAGTAATAGTATTATAAAGTAGTTAGTAGTAAAGTAGTAGTAGTAATAGTATAGTAATAGTTAGTAAGTAGTAGTAGTAGTAGTAGTGTAGTAGTAGTAGTAGTAGTGAGTAGTTAGTAGTAGTAAGTATAGTAGTAGTAGTATAGTAGTAGTAGTAGTAGTAGTAGTAGTAAAGTAGTAGTAGTAGTAGTAGTATAGTAGTAGTAGTAGTAGTAGTAGTAAGTAGTAGTAGTAGTCAGTAGTAGTAGTCAGTAGTAAGTAGTAGTCAGTAGTAGTAGTAGTTAGTAGTAGTAGTAGTAGTACGTAGTAGTAGTAGTAGTCAGTAGTAAGAAGTAGCTACAGAGTCAGTAGTAGTAGTAGAAGCAAGTAGTCCAGTAGTAGTGTAGTAGTCGTAGTATAGTAGTCAGTTAGTAGTTAGTAGTAGTAGTAGTAGCAGTAGTAGTAGCAGTAGTAGTAGCAGCAGTAGTAAGTTAGCAGCAGTAGTAGCACCAGCAGCAGCAGAGCAGTTTAGCAGGGCAGCAGCAGCAGCAGCAGAGCAGCACAGCATGGCAAGCAGCAGCAGCAGCAGCAGTAGTAGTAGTAGCAGTAGTAGTAGTAGCAGTAGTAGTAGCAAAAGAATTAATAGTAGCACTGATAGCAGTAGAAGTTTAAAAAGAAAAGTAAAACATTACTGATTTTTTTCTGACACTTTTCTTTCTCTTATTAATTAAACAAAATAAACAATAAAAGAATGACTTAAATTGTCAAAGAATATGTTACACTTCCTTTTTCATTTTCAATTAACCAAAAAACTTACTTTTCTGGAACCTGAGAAAGGATATTTTTACTTAGATCAACTGTTCTCACTCCTGCTTCCGCTGCATTTTCAATCAGTTTATCTGGAATTTCTGCAGCTTTTTCATTATATGCCATTGTTTGAGTTGTCCTCATCTGGTACTTGTCTGGAATTGCTTTTTCTCCCATTATCAGGTTTGTGTCAACAGGTGTATTTTCAAAACCTGAAAAAAGGAAAATGTACTTTTACTTATTAATTTCAATGATACTATATTCATTATTAGCACAAATAAAATCATTTTAAAGATTTTAGCACAGATGGGCTTCATATATTTCTGGCTTTATAAAATATGTAATGCTTATCTTTACTCTTTTTAAGGTTTGTCAAATATATAATAATACATGTTGATTACCACTAACACATATGCTTTGGATAAAACTACATACAAAACATGATATCATCATGATAATTCCTGTCTTATCAACAATATTTGCTTTGCTAACATGATCTCTCACCAGGGAATGTATTGACAGGAGCTGAAACTCTTGAGCGTAAATACTTCAAGAGTTGCATTGTTCCACGTTGTATAATATCACGTCGAATCAGTCTCATGGGATTACCATCCAATGGCATGGACTTCAAATGGGGAAGAAGGCCAATATGGTAGGGAAGGCTACATGAAAAGAGAAAAAAGGCAATTCAAGTAATGACTTGACTTAAATGAAGATGAAAATAATTTAGAAGACCTAATTTCTTTAATTTCAAATTAATTTAAAACTTCATTACCAAATTCTCAATTGGCAGGTTCATTGGCATACTATCTATACAGCTGGTTAGACGCTTATAGTTTTGAACCATAAATATATTTGCTACTGTTACTATACAATCTCTTCCAATTTGTTTTCTTATTTAGACTACCTAAAATGATAGTTAGCCTAAACTGCACATAAAATCTCACCTACATACCCTGTATACCTTTATTTTTACTGAACTTAATGCAATCACTGAACTAAACCAATTAACCCAATATAAAAAAATTCTACTTACGTAGACAGGTTGTTATTAGTAATATCAAGCCGCTCAAGCCCCTGAAGCAATGTTATCTGATCAGGCAAATCATCAATCTGATTGTCTCGAAGGTCTAACACACTTATCCCAGTCAAATGATTTAGTTGTTCAGCTTCTATTTCCTGTAAATGGAAAGGACTAATGTTACAAAATCTTTTTATCTATATATCATAAAACTTATGACATGATTACATATCAAATCCAATGCAATTCATACCTAAGAAAAAATTAAGAAATACTTTGAACATTTGAACACCAAAATTCTTATTTTTGCTTAACCATATTAATATAGCAACAGATGTATAGTCAATAGCTAACCTTAATGAAATTAAAACCAAGATGCAGCTCCTTTAATGATGCACAGTTATGTAAAGGAGGGAGAATTTGGATTGAGTTGTAGCGGAGGTAGAGCTGCTCTAATTTCTGCAGGTTACCAATGGAATCTGGAAGGCCTTTCAGCTCATTCTGGTTTAGGTCAAGCTGATTCAGACCTAAAAGGAAATGTGTGATTATTTAAAAATCTGACATTTACCAGAAATATATATACAAGTGAAAAATGTTTCTCACTCTACAAGAAATACATATTACAAAGAATCATATGCTTTATTACTACATCAAAACCTTGAAGAGTTATTATTACTGATTACAGTATCAACAAAAACCTACAAAATAGCCACAACATGAAAGGGGATTTATCATTAGTTTCACAAGAGAAGAAAGGCATATACAGGATATACCTGCAAATGAGTAAAAAT